GATAGATAGATAGATAGATAGATAGATAGATAGATAGATAGATAGATAGATAGATAGATGATAGATAGATATGGATGAGATGGATGAGAGGGAGATGATAATGAGATAGAAAGACAGATAGACAGACAGTAGATAGATAGATAAGGTAAATAGGTAGATAGGTAGATGAGAGAGAGGGAAAGAGATGATAGATGATATAGGTAGGTAGGTAGGTATGTAGACAGAAAGACAGACAGACAGATAGGTATGGTAAATGATGGATATTGATAGATAGAGATAGATACTGTAGATAGATACTAGAGAGAGAGAGATTTCAGAGTCCCTCCTCTAAGCCATTTGCAGGCAGAAATCTCAGCCCACAAATTTGGGGACAGCAATTTACTTTCCATACCTGAATTTTGTTTCCATGAAAAATGCTCGTCCGTCTGTGTTTTCTGCGGCTACACATTCAGAGTGTAGGGACGGTGATGCCCGAAGCACAAAGAAATAATAATCAAAAAGGGGTTTTTCTTTGTGAGGGGGGAAAAATACAATAAGAGTGTTGATATCCTGCAGTCTATTGTCATGAGCCAAGGGTCTAGTTTAAATGGGGGGGGGGTATTTATTTCATCCTTCCTGTCCTAACTCTGTGGAAGGCTTTAGAAATGCCTTTGATGAGATGAAAACTGACCTTAAGCTGGGAACTACGGAGAGATGCCATTATAATTTATTTGGGAAGATTTTATTCCCTTCTATTTTCATCCTCTGGCCTCTGAGACATTAAGAGTTTAATTCTTCTCTAAAGACACTTTAAGGCTCAGTGGTGAAGATGCTGAGCTTGTCGATCAGAAAGGTCGGCACTTCGGCGGTTTGAATCCCTAGCGCCGCATAACAGAGTGAGCTCCCGTGACTTGTCCCAGCTTCTGCCAATCTAGCAATTCGAAAGCACGTAAAAAATGCAAGTAGAAAAATGGGAACCACCTTTGGTGGGAAGGGAACAGTGTTCCGTGCTCCTTCGGCATTGAGTCATGCCAGCCACATGACCACGGAGACGTCTTCGGACAGCGCTGGCTCTCTGGCTTTGAAACAGAGATGAGCACCGCCCCCNTCCTTCCTTCCTTCCTCCCTTCCTTCCACCCACTACTTAGACTTATATACCACTTCAAAGTGCTTTACAGCCCTCTCTAAGCTGTTTACAGAGCCAGCCTCTTGCCCCCCCCAACAATCTGGGTCCTCATTTTACCCACCTCAGAAGGATGGAAGGCTGAGGGAGGGAGGGAGGAAAGAAGGGAGGGAGGGAGGAGGAAAAGAAGCAAGGAAGGGCGATGGCAATAGCACTTAGACTTATATATTGCTTCACAGTGCTTTTACAGCCCTCTCTAAGCGGTTTACAGAGTCAGCCTCTTGCCCCCAACAATCTGGGTCCTCAACCTTGAGCCTGGGGAGATTCAAGTTGCCAAATTGCAGGCAGCCGGCAGTCAGCAGAAGTAGCCTGCAGTACCCCACTCTCACCACTGTGCCCCGGCGGCTCATTGAGCAAATAAAGGGTTCGTTTTCTTCGTAATGGGAAGGGTCTTTTCCAAAAATATAAACTTGGCAAGAGCTTCAGGCCAAGATGGTTTTAAGGGGTGCAGTGTAGGATCTCGTCCCAAAAACCTGGGTACAAAACAGCAAAAGGGGCACCGAAGACCATCTGGAGAATATTTGTAGCTCAGGGTTGAAACGAGGGAGTGAGGGGGGGGGGCTCCTTGGTGCTACAAATAGTTTTGGCGGTCTCTGCTTCCTCCCTTGGCAAGAATCTGCACTGCAGTGCCACTTGTATCGGTAGTCCTCGATTTACAACCATTCACTTAGCGACTGGTCAAAAGTTTCAACAACGGCCCTGGGGGGGGGCGGGGAAATGACTTAGGAGAGGGTTTCACGCTTCCAACCGTTGCTGTAATCCCAAAGTCATGTGATCAAACTTAGGATGCTTGATTCGTACTTACGACGATTTGCAGCATCCCGGGGGTGGGTGGGTTCACGCAATCCCCGTTTAGCGACCTTCTGACAAGCCAAGTCAAGGGGTGGGAGTGGGGTGGGGGAAACCTGGATTCTTTTTAAGAACTGTGCGAGTAACTCGACCACTGTGGCAAAGAAGGGTTGTAAAAAACAGGGCAAAATCCCCTGAGCAAGTGTTTCACTTAGCAGCAGGTATGTGGGGTTCCCTTGTGGTCGTAAGTCAAGGACTACCAATATTCCTTATCTTGCCTCTCGCACCTCTGCTTATCTTCCCAGTTTGCATGTTTGAGAAGGACGAGAGTTGCCGAAGGGAAAAAACTAATCCAGCCTGCTTTCTCCTGTTCTCAGGCTTTGCAACCCTGAGCATCTTACTAATTTATGGAATTGGGTGGGTGGGGGAGATTATTTCCTATATAAGCCCCCTTGGGCTTGGGCTTCGTTAGGCGACAAGGCTGTTTGCTTGAGGCTGCCGTTTTGAGCACTAGCTTGTGGCGCTAGCCGGTTTTGCTCTTCGTTTACA